ATCCCCTTTCATTGGATAGATTAAATAACTTGCCCAAGGTCAAATAACTAGTAAGTGGCAGAGCTGGGATTAAAAATCACGTTTATCTAAACTTGAATACTTCTGCCCTTATATGTGACCAGTCCGATAAGAGGTACTTCCTCTCAAATGAACTGGTGGATGGGAGTCAGACTATCTGGTTTGAATTCTGGCTGCTCCATTTACTGGCTTATTTGAGAAGTCTTCTAACTTCTCTAAGCTTCAATTACCTTATCTATAAAATGGGGATAAAAATACTTACCTTTTAGAGGTATTAAAAGGATGGGCCAGGCGCGGTGGCTCAAGCCTGTAATCCCAGCACTTTGGGAGGCTGAGACGGGCGGATCACTAGGTCAGGAGATCGAGACCATCCTGGCTAACACGGTGAAACCCCATCTCTACTAAAAAAATACAGAAAACTAGCCGGGCGAGGTGGCGGGCGCCTGTAGTCCCAGCTACTCAGGAGGCTGAGGCAGGAGAATGGTGTAAACCCAGGAGGCGGAGCTTGCAGTGAGCTGAGATCCGGCCACTGCACTCCAGCCTGGGAGACAGAGCCAGACTCCATCTCAAAAAAAATAAAAATAAAAATAAAAAGATGAAGCCAGGCAGGGCGCGGTGGCTCATGCCTGTAATCCCAGCACTTTGGGAGGCTGAGATGGGCAGATCATGAGGTCAGGAGTTCAAGACTAGCTTGGCCAACATAGTGAAACCCTGTCTCTACTAAAAAAAAAAAATATGGCTGGGCGCGGTGGCTCACACCTGTAATCCCAGCACTTTGGAAGACCGAGGTGGGCGGATCATAAGGTCAGGAGATCAAGACCATCCTGGCTAACATGGTGAAACCCCGTCTCTACTAAAAATACGAAAAATTATCTGGGCATGGTGGCGGGCGCCTGCAGTCCCAGCTACTTGGGAGGCTGAGACAGAAGAATGGCGTGAACCTGGGAGGCAGAGCTTGCAGTGAGCGGAGATTGCAGCATTGTACTCTAGCCTGGGCGGCGAGACTCCGTCTCAAAAAACAAACAAACCAAACAAATTAGCTGGGTGTGGTGGTACGTGTCTGTAATCCCAGCTACTCAGGAGGCTGAGGCAGGAGAATCTCTTGATTCTGGGAGACAGAGGTTGCGGTGAGCCAAGATCGTGCCACTGTACTCCATCCTGGGCAACAGAGCAAGACTCCATCTCAAAAAGAAAAAAAAGAAAGGATAAAGCCATGTAAAATGCTTTAGAGTGGTTGACATGGAACAGGCATTCAGGAGATTACTGTTAGAGCATGGCTGCCTTGACTCAGGGGAGCTCCTAAACTGAGGTCTCAGGTCTTCAGGTGTTTTTGTTTGTTTTTTTGGGTTTTTTTTTGAGATGGGGATTTCCTCTGTCACCAGGCTAGAGTGCTGTGGCACAATCACAGCTCCCTGCAGCATCAACTCCCAGGCTCAATCAATCAATCTGTTCTCTCACCTCAGCCTCCTCAGTAGCTGGGACTACAGGCGTGTACCACCATGCCCAGCTAATTTTTGTATTTTTTTTTGTAGAGATGGGGTTTCACCATGTTGGCCAGGCTGGTCTTGAACTAGATCGTTCTTTACAACCAGGAGACTTGTCCTTTTTCCATTTTTTTCTCTGGGTCCTTCTACCTGTTCCAGGAGGAGGGATGACTCCCTGGGTTTAGCCTGGAGCATGCACTAGTCTCTTGCTGTTCTCCCCACCTCAGGGCTGAACATGGGCCCAGTCGTGGCAGGTGTCATTGGGGCTCGGAAGCCGCAGTATGACATCTGGGGGAACACAGTGAATGTCTCTAGTCGTATGGACAGCACGGGGGTCCCCGACCGAATCCAGGTAAGGGGAATACGAGCAGGGCCTGGGAGGAAGGTGGGCCCAGAGGGCTTCCACGGTGTGTCTGCAGTCTGCTAGGACAGGGGTAGGGTGGCTAGTGTTCTGTGTATGGTGGGGTGGGGGTTGGGGGAAGGGAGCTAGCCTGACTAGAGAACCCCTGGGCCCCTGCAAATGCAGCAGGAAGGATTCCAGGCTAAGCGGGCTCCCCTCCCACTCCCCCAGGTGACCACGGACCTGTACCAGGTTCTAGCTGCCAAGGGCTACCAGCTGGAGTGTCGAGGGGTGGTCAAGGTGAAGGGCAAGGGGGAGATGACCACCTACTTCCTCAATGGGGGCCCCAGCAGTTAGCAGGACCCAGCCACAAATTCAGCTGAAGGGATCAAGGTGGGCATTGAGTGGACTCTGTGCTCGCTGGGTGGAGCTGTGGCAGGGGGCACTGAGCCTCCAGACCCTGCTAACCACAAAAGGGAACATCCCAGCAGGCTGTGCTTGGATCATGATTGTCTACCCTCAAGCTGGAAAACAAGGGGCTACCTACCAAGAGGATTATGCAAGTGACTTTCTTTCTTACTTGGGGTAGGGCTGTTCCCTCTCCAATCTTCCAGCTTTTGGGAGCAGGGGAAGGGTCAGTAGCAGAAGCAGAGGGAGGCCTCTTGCCTGAGGGATTAAAATGGCAGCTTGCCATGCCTACCCTTCCCTGTCTGTCTGGGCAGCAGGTTCAGGGCTGGGCCCTTCTTTTCCCTCTTTTTTCCTGGGAATATTTTGTACAATATTTTGTACAAAGACAGGCATGAGGAGTGCCTATTCCATGCTTGCCTTTGCAATACCTGCGTCCCCAGCACTGGTCCTGGGCACTTCCCCACTGCAGCCAGGTGTCCCTCCTAGGCACAGAGCAGAGGAGGGAGATGCTCTGGGGAGCCAGCTTTGGCCATATTTCAGGAGAATGTTTCCATGTGCCAAATTCTAGTCCCACAATCTGTCCCCAAAGGGGAACAAAGGGACCTCTGACAGCTTAGATTTAGCCCCAGTTCCTGCATGCTCCAGGGAACGGGGCATCTGGCCTCACTGGTACTGTGAAAATGCTCAGAGAGCAAGCCTGTGTGTGGGGATATCAGGTCAGGAGCTGGAAGTTCACCTGCAGGTGCCAAAGAGCAGGCAGGCCAGGGCTGGGGCGGTGCCAGACTCTGATCTGAGGACCCTGATGGGGTCCAGATCAGGTCACTCTGCGCCAGTGCTCTCTTGCTGTCTACTGGCAAGGGGGCATGGAGCATCTCTCCCTCTTCTGTTGCCAAATAGAAAAGGGTCAGGGCATGGAGAAAGATGACCCTGATCCCAAACCTGCCCTCCCAAGTCTCTGGCGTTGGGGAGGGCCTGTGTGTTTGTGTAACTGTGTGTGCATGTTGGTCTTTGTGTGCATATCTGTTTTCCAGGTCTGTGTGAGTCCTTGTGCTCCTGCTCCTCAGCTCTCCACCCCAGGTTGCATCTCTCCTGTGGGCCTCTGTCTTCTGGGAATAAAGCAGGGTTTCCTATTTCAGGGGATGTAGAGAGACGCCCAGATTACACAGGAGTGGGATGGGGTGTGGTAGCAAAAGGAGGGAGAGGAGTCCTTTTTGTGCCAAATCCCTAAGTGCCGTTTGGGGGCCATGTGTGCAGCATGACTCTCCCTGTCTGTGGCAGGGACCCAAGCGCTTGCTTGAGCCCCAGTGCTCCATGCTAGCACTTGAACTGTCTGGGGTTTGATGGACAGAGGCTCAGGAATTTCCTGGCTTCCCCAGATAGTGTCCTGGGACATGGTATGCTTTGGGGCTGGGGTAGCATGGAATCCCTCTGAGGACCCGGATACTGGTACTATTGGGTGGGGAAGAGGAACCTTAAACTTGGCTTTCTCCAGCCTTCAGCCTGAGTCTAGCACGTTTCTGGCTCCCCAGCCCCTTGTGAAACCTTGGGGGCTGGCAGAAGGGTTAGGAGGTTGAACTCTAGATTCCCTTCCTATCTTTGCCTTCCTTTTACCCCTTTCCCTGCAACCTCTTTGACTGTGGCCTGAATTTGTTGGTCCCTCAGTTTCTCTGTCTGTACCTATTTAAGCCAAAGGCACTAGCCTGAATTTTGCTTGAAGATCACTTTGTCTTGGAAATGACTAGAGAGGCAGAGGAGAAGGGTTTCCAGAGTTACTGGGTTTGGGAGTGGAAGGGGCAGGCAGTGCACTTGCCCCTCCTCATGCCCCTCTGACACCAGCTCCCTGTGGAGGCCTGGTTTCTGGGTACTGCCTCCCTTGGGCATCTTCATGCATCAACCAAATGGGCCATCAGGTACTTCATTAGTCATGGCAGAAGGAGGGGAAAAGACTTGTTTTTCCAGACAGAAAGTCTACTCCCCTGCCCCCAGCCATAGCCCTGGATAGGAAGGGATAGGAAGAGACTACTTGGTGCCATGGGGTAGGGGTGAGGGTATAAGTAGATCAGAGTGGGAAGACCTCAGCCTTGGGTGGCTTATCTCTGCTTTTTGCCAGGTGGGAGGGCCTGTCCACACCCTGGCTCCCCATACCACAGTGCCAGCCATGCCCTTCCCCTGGGCAACCATTGCCCCTTTCCTCACCCAGTTGGTGGAGGAGTCAGGAGATGGGAGGCCATGGGCTTTGGTTTTGTAATGTAACCACTGTGGGGGTGAGGGAGGATGGTGTACCATGTATTTCAGTGAAATATTTAATATATTTAAATATCAATAAAATCAAACTCTTTGTAAAATTCCCTGTTCTCTGTAGCTGTTCTGGGCCCTGGGTGGGTCAGAAGTGACAGAGCCTGGTGTAGGGGGCGACCTCCTGCCCCAGGGCTCTGTGGGCCTCTCATCTGTGGTCAGACGACTTCCTGTGGCTTTCTCCCTGCTGAGGAGAAGCTGTAGTATCTTCAGAGAGTGTGACTACTCAAGGCCTTTCAACATCATGAGCTCCAGTGTATGCCTTCCCAGATTTGTGTGTGACCCCTGCCACGCATGAGGCCTGTGGTGCTTTCCAGTACCTTGGCCCCTCACAGACTTCTCACTCTAAGGTCTGGCTCATTCAGGAATCTCCCACACACCAGCTCTCACAACAACCTGGACACTGGAATCACTCCCACCCTGAACCCACAGCTCCCGCCGTGCACACAAGCAACTTTTAGTCCGATCTGTTTACTCTGCTTTCTCCATATCCTCCTCCCATCAGTTAGCCATCGGAACTGGAAAACCTCCTTCTTTCCCCCCCTTTGCACTCTTGCCACAATTCCTCTTGTCTTTCTGCAGCCATATCTTCTTAATACAGACTGAAGTTTCTGTCATTGAGAATAGAGTGATCCATAAACCTGGAAAGAAGAGATTCAGAGAGAGATTCAGCCAGGCCAGGCTGGAGAGCAGGAGATCCTTAAAAATAGCTCCTAAGAGGCTGGGCTCAGTGGCTCACACCACTTTGGGAGGCCCTAGCAGGTGGATCACAAGGTTAGGAGTTCAAGACCAGCCTGGCCAAGATGGTGAAACCTCGTCTCTACTGAAAATACACAAATCAGCTGGTCGCGGTGGTGGGTGCCTATAATCCCAGCTACTCAGGAGCTGATTCAGGAGAATTGCTTGAACCTGGGCGGCAGAGGATGCAGTGAGCTGAGATCGTGCCACTGCACTCCAGCCTGGGTGAGAGCTAGACTCCGTCTCTATCAGTAAATAAATAAATAAATAGCTCCCCAAACCGCCTCAGGGCAGAATGAGTAGGGGTAGTGATGAAAAAGTGGGGCTACTGCCAATGGATGGTGATTTGAGAGGTGGAGAGGTAGCGATGAAAGCAGCATTGGACTGCCACAGGAATACTATGGACACTTGTTTTGCACCAGCTCAGAAGTCACACCCACAAAGAGGAACACAAAGACACAGACAAATCTTTAACTCCTTTTAATGCCATCATGGCCCAAATTCTGGGGCCAGTTTTCTCTGGTAAGACTCAAATCTCTCCTAATTCCCTAACTGACCAGAGATGAAATAGTCTCTAAGACTGAAGTAAAGGGAAGGAGTACTTTCCTTGACCTCCCCACCCTTATGCCCCTCCCAGCCTAACCTGGTCATCGCGCTTTTTATGAGACAGTGGCGTGGGCTCCGGATCCATGGCATGGTTTCCTCTGGACGCACTCCTGGATCATGGGACTGCCAGAAGCTGAAGTTCTGAGCATCAGTCAAGGGGATTCTGAAGACCTGATTGGGAACTGAATGGGTGAGGGGAAGGGCAGGTTATCTAATTCCTTCAAGTTCTTCGGCTCACTTTTCTGCCTCAGGGCAGCAATAGCCCAGCCCAGCCCAGCCCAGCAACTGCTCGGCCTGACCAGGTGCTGAGAGGTCCTGGGAGTGTGGTTACCACACCCTGCTTCACTTCCGGATTCCAGCATCTCACATCCTTCATGGTCAAATGAATCAGTCTTGCTTCTTCCTGCTGCTAGTAAGCCCATCTCCAAGAGAGCTTTTCCCAAGTGCTAAGATGGTAGAAAAACAGGTGGTCAACCCATGTGGGAAATGTGTAAGATGGGGTCCACTGATCTATTATTTTTCTTTTTTCTTGGCTTAATCATCCTCATTCTCTTCCCTCCTCTTGGAAAAAAATGGCTTCCTTTGCTCACTCCAAGTAATTCTCTGAAACCTAACTAATACTACCTCATGTTTAGATGCTGTTAATAGATGTCATTTATCTAGTGCCTATTATGTTCTAGATGTGGTATTAAATATTCTTAAATTTTTGTAATAATATCAGACTCTGATGCTGTTTGAAAAAGTACTTTTGGGCTGGGCGCGGTGGCTCACACCTGTAATCTGAGCACTTTGGGAGGCCGAGGCAGGCAGATTACCTGAGGTCGGGAGTTCGAGACCAACCTGACCAACATGGAGAAACCCCGTCTCTACTTAAAAAAAAAAAAAAAAAATAGTCGTGTGTGGTGGTGCATGCCTGTAATCCCAGCTACCCGGGAAGCTGAGGCAGGAGAATCACTTGAACCTAGGAGGCAGAGGTTGTGGTGAGCCAAGATTGCGCCATTGCACTCCAACTGGGGCAATAAGAGCAAAACTCTGTCTCAAAAAAAAAAAAAAAAGTACTTTTGGCTGGGTGAGGTGGCTCATGCCTGTAATCCCAGCACTTTTGGAGGCCGTGGCAGGTGGATCACTTGAGGTCAGGAGTTTGAGACCAGCCTGGCCAACATGGTGAAACCCCATCTCTACCAAAAATACAAAAATTAGCAGGGCATCGTGGTGGGTGCCTGTAATCCCAGCTATTTGGCAGGCTGAGGCAGGAGAATTGCTTACACCTGAGAGACGGAGGTTGCAGTGAGCTGAGATTGTGCCACTGCACTCCAGCCAGGGTGACAGAGCGAGACTCTATCTCAAAAAAAAAAAAGAAAAAGGAAAAAAGAAAAAGAAAGAGAAAAAAAGTACTTTTACTATTTATTTGGATAAGTCTAATTCTACCAGTATAAAATTTGTTTATTTTTAAAACTTAGAATTATAGCCTAATATTCTGGATTGCTATACAGTGTTTATAATAATTTTTTTAAAATCCCTAATAATTCATTGAGTAGATGTTACATTTTTTGGCTTATTTTCCTATTAATTAATAATAATCTATTAAGTTTTGCTATTAGAGGCCACGTGCAGTGGCTCACCTGTAATCCCAGTCTTTATTTATTTTTTATTTTTTTATTTTTTTTTAGAGGGAGTCTCGCTCTGTCGCCCAGGCTGGAGTGCAGTGGCGCAATCTCCGCTCACTGCAAGCTCCGCCGCCTCCCGGGTTAACGCCATTCTCCTGCCTCAGCCTCCCGAGTAGCTGGGACTACAGGCGCCTGCTACCACACCCGGCTAATTTTTTTGTATTTTCAGTAGAGACAGGGTTTCACCGTGTTCGCCAGGATAGTCTCCATCTCCTGACCTCGTGATCCGCCCGCCTCGGCCTCCCAAAGTGCTGGGATTATAGGCGTGAGCCACTGCGCCCGGCCATCCCAGCACTTTAAGAGGCAGATGGATCACTCGAGCCCAGGACTTCCAGACCAGACCAGGCAACGTGTTGAAACCCCATTTCTACAAAAAATACAAAAATTCGTCCAGTGGGATGGTGCACGCCTGTAGTACCAGCTACTCAGGAGGCTGAGGTGGGAAGGATCCTTTGAGCCTGGGAGGTTGTTGAGGCTGCAGTGAGCCATGATTGTGCCACTGCATTCCAGCCTGGGCAACAGAGCAAGATTCTGTCTCAAAAAAATAAAAATGGAAAAATATTAAAGTTTTGCCGTTAGAAATAACTTATTACCCCTCTTTCCACATGTGCCTGTTTTGATTTCTGAAAGTATTTTAGGTTTTAAACTTTAATTTTGTTATAATTATAGGTTCACATACAATTGTAATGAATAGTACAGGGAAACCAGGTGCAATGGCTCATGCCTGTAATCCCAGCACTTTGGGAGAATCACTTGAGCCCAGGAGTTCAAGATCAGGCTGGGCAACATAGCAAGACCCTGTCTCTATTTTAAAAAAAAAAACAAAAACAGGGAAATCATGTGTACCCTTTACTCTTCCCCACAATGGTTACAGCTTACAAAACTATAGTACACTACCACAACATGATATTAATATATTGAATACATTGATACAGAATAGTTCCATCACCACCCATCCTGGAGCTGGCATTTTATAGCCACCCTCTCCCACTGTCCCGCTTTGGAAATCAGTGATCTGTTCTTCATTTCTGTAATCTTGTCATTTTAAGAATGTTATAAGAGCCAGATGCGGTGGCTCACGCCTGTAATCCCAGCACTTTGGGAGGCCGAGGCAGGTGGATCACCTGAGGTCAGGAGTTCAAGACCAGCCTGACCAATATTGTGAAACCCCGTCTCTACTAAAAATACAAAAATTAGCTGGGCTTGGTGGCGGGTGCCTGTAATTCCAGCTACTCAGAATACTGAGACAGGAGAATCGCTTGAACCAGGAGGGCAGAGGTTGCAGTGACCCGAGATCGTGCCATTGCACTCCAGCCTGGGTGACAGAGAAAGATTCCATCTCAAAAAAAAAAAGAATGTTATAAGAGTGTTACATAAGAATGTTATAAGAGTGTTACTTAAGAATGTTATATAAGAATGTCATATAAGAATGTTGTAAGGCCTGGTGTGGTGGCTCACACCTGTAATTCCAGCACTTTGTGGGGCTGAGGCGGGAGGACTGCTGTGCCTGGGAGTGCCCGGGAGTTCAAGACCAGCCTGGGCAAAATAGCCAGACCTTGTGTCTTAAAAAAAAAAAAGAAAAAGAAGAAAGCTGGCATAGTGACACACGCCTGTAGTCTCAGCTACTTGGGAGGCTGAGGTGGGAGGATCACTTGAGCCCAGGAGTTTGAGACTGTAGTGAGCTATAATTGCCCCATTGTACTCAGCCTGGGCAACAGAGTGAGACCCTGTCTTAAAAAAAAAAAAAAAAAAAAAAAAGAATGTTATATAAATGGCATCATACACTATGTGATGTTTATTTTTATTTTTATTTTTTATCAACCTACATCATGTTTTGATGTCCTACATGCTTTCTAGTTTTTGGTTTTTTTTTTTTTTGAGACAGGGTCTTGCTCTGTCACCCAGGCTGGAGTGCAGTAGCGCTATCACAGCTCATGGCAGCCTTGACCTGCCAGGCTTAAGTGATTCTCCCACCTCAGCCTCCTGAATAGCTGGGACTATAGGCGAGCACCACCACGCCCCGCGAATTTTTTTTTTTTTTTTTGAGATGGAGTCTCACTGTGTCATCCAGGTTGGAGTGCAATGGCACCATCTCGGCTCACTGCAACCTCTGCCTCTTGGGTTCAAGTGATTCTCCTGCCTCAGCCTACCAAGTATCTGGGATTACAGGTGCCTGCCACTATGCCCGGCTAACATTTTTTTGTATTTTTAGTTGAGACGGGGTTTCGCCACGTTGGACAGGCTGGTCTTGAACTTCTGACCTCAAGTGATCCGCCCGCTTCGTCTTCCTAAAGTGCTGGGATTACAGGCATGAGCCACCGTGCCTGGCTGTATGTTTTATCGATGGGATTTCACCATGTTGCCCAGGCTGGCTACATGCTTTTTAAAATGTACATGTTCTCTCTTCACAATAGTGCTAAAAAGTATTATTCCGATTTCCAGATGGTTCAGAGAGATTGTGGTTAAAGGAACTTGCCTAAAGTCACAGAATTCATTTGCAGTTTAAACCTGGTTCAATAAAATGCCAAAGCTGGTGCTTACTATTCCTCAAAGGGATAATGCATGATAATATACAATGGTTTCATTTTTACTTTTTTTCTCCCAACAATTTTGAAAGATTAGTAAAACAATAGATCAGGCATTTTCTCTCCTCAACATCCTGCCTTTAAACCAATGAGGGGCCCGAAGTGGTGGCTCACGCCTGTAATCCCAGTACTTTGGGAGGCCGAGGGAGATGGATCACCTGAGATCAGGAGTTTGAGACCAGCCTGGCCAACATGGTGAAACCCCATCTCTACTAAAAGTGCAAAAATTAGCCAGGCGTGGTGGCACACTCCTGTAGTCCCAGCTACTCGGGAGGCTAAGGCACAAGAATAACTTGAACAAAGGAGGCGGAGTTTGCAGTGAGCCAAGATTGCACCACTGCACTACAGCCTGGACGATAGAGTGAGAATCTGCCTCAAAACAACAACAGCAAAACCGATGAAAGAGTAGGTCAATAAAGGGTAAATGGGCTGGGTGTGGTGGCTCACACCTGTAATCCCAGCACTGTGGGAGGCCAAGGTGGGAGGATCACTTGAGCCTGGGAGTTTGATGCCAGCCTGGACAACATAGCATGACTCCCTCTCTACAAAAATGGTTTTAAAAAATTAGCCAAGCTTGGTGGTGCATGCCTGTAGTCCCAGCTACTCAGGAGGCTGAGGCAAGAAGATCACTTGAGCCTAGGAGTTCGAGGCTGCAGTGAGCTATGATTGTGCCACTGCACTCCAGCCTGGGTGATAGAATGAGATCCTGTTTCCAAGAAAAGAAAAGGTGAGACATCAAAAAAGAGTCAGAACTAGGACTCAAACATGGATCTTCTGCCTCTTTTTTTTTTTTTTTTTGAGACGGAGTCTCGCTCTGTCGCCCAGGCTGGAGTGCAGTGGCCGGATCTCAGCTCACTGCAAGCTCCGCCTCCTGGGTTTACGCCATTCTCCTGCCTCAGCTTCCCGAGTAGCTGGGACTACAGGCGCCCGCCACCTCGCCCGGCTAGTTTTTTGTATTTTTTTAGTAGAGATGGGGTTTCACCGTGTTAGCCAGGATGGTCTTGATCTCCTGACCTCGTGATCCGCCCGTCTCGGCCTCCCAAAGTGCTGGGATTACAGGCTTGAGCCACCGCGCCCGGCCGGATCTTCTGCTTCTAAGTCTAATTCAAATTTCATTTTATTGATGGGCATGGTGGTTCACGCCTGTAATCCCGGCACTTTGGGAGGCCCAAGTGGGTGGATCATCTGAGGTCAGGCGTTTGAGACCAACCTGGACAACATGGTGAAACCCCGTCACTACTAAAAATACAAAAATTAGTTGGGTATGGTGGCAGACACCTGTAATTTCACCTACTCAGGAGGCTGAGGCAAGAGAATCACTTGAACCTGGGAAACAGAGGTTGCAGTGAGCTGAGATGGCGCCACTGCACTCCAGCCTGGGTGACAGAGCAAGACTCTGCCTCAAAAAAAAAAAAAAAAGAAAAATTTATTTTATCATGCTTATCCCACCAAGTCTACTTTCTCCCTCTTCCTCTCAGTCTGTCTCCTCTTGGCTCTTTTTTTTTTTCCTGCCAGATAACCATACCCAACCACATCCTAGCCAATCTTTTTTTTTTTTTTTTTTTTTTTTTGAGACGAAGTCTCACCACTCTGTTGCCCAAGCTAGAGTGCAGTGGCACGATCTCGGCTCACTGCAACCTCCAATTCCTGGCTTCAAGTGATTCTCCTCCCTCAGCCTCTTGAGTAGCTGAGACTACAGGCATGCACTACCATGCCTGGCTAATTTTTGTATTTTTAGTAGAGATGGGGTTTCACTATGTTGGCCAGGCTGGTCTTGAACTCCTGACCTTGTGATCTGCCTGCCTTGGCCTCCCAAAGTGCTAGGATTACCGACATGAGCCATCAAACCCGGCCTCATCCCAGCCATTCTTTAGGAACTCAGACATATCTTTTTTTCTCCTAGCATGATGCCCACCCCAAGGTACTTACATGTCTTCAACAACACCTTCCGGACAGCTTCGTGGTATCTTGTGTGGCTATTCTGGTGCACGGAATAATTCCCATCTTTTGAGATAATGGGGGGAAGCCTAGTAGGCTCTGATTCCTTCTGGTCTGAAATGAGAGTAGACTTGTTCTGAGTACTTGGCAAATGACTATTTGATTCTCTGATTCCCTGGTCTCCATGCTAACCAGGTGCATGGCAGGCATCTCTCCTAGCCATTCACATCCAGTTCTCAGGAATCCAATTAACATGGCTGTGACAGAGGGGAGGGAGGGAGAATGCAGTGATCACAAGACCTCCCTTACCACTCTCTTGCTTCTGCCTGACTCCTGGGTTTTAAGCGGCCAACTTCTGGAATCAGGATATTGGACACATACTTAGGGTTAGTGCAAGTGAAAAAGGCCCTTATCTGGGTAGACATTCCTTTCCTGGGATTGGCATATTTGCAGAACTTCAAATGGTCTAATAGTGGAAGTTATGTTTGAGCTAAGTCTTGGAGGAAAAGAAGGAGGTGGGTTACAGTAGAATCAGGAAGAGCATTTCAGACAGCAGAATGGCAAGTGTTTAGAAGCATTAGAGAGGCATCAGAGGGCTATTTGGTTTGGAGCCTGGAGTGCTGGGTGAAGAGGAGAAGGACAGGAGATGGGGCTGGTAAGGTAGTGCAGTGTAGTGGCTACCTGGCTTTCGTTGTGTTTGGGAATCACTCCCTATGAAGCAAAACCTGTATCTCACAATAGAGGCTGAATAGACGAGTTCTTCCTTACTCAACCTCTCTTTCAGTAAGGATATGGACAAAGAATTTTGGCTAGGCCAATCAAACACATCTGCTTCAGATTTTGAATCAAAGGTTGCAAGGAAGCAGTGGCCATATAAAGTTATCTGCTAGTGACAGGAGGTGACAGCAATGAAGCTGCATCCTGTTTCCAGCAGCAGTATTCAGGACCCAGCATCCTTGGTGCCAGTGGTGCCCACTACAGCATTGAATGCAGTAGTGTCTGTGCCAGACCAGGTCTATGGCAGGATTCTGAGCATTGTTTCTGATTACCGTCCATCATTCCTACTGCATTCCTACTGCAGCTTTTGTATGCTTCCCAATATTTTCTTATTTTCTTTCTCTTTTTATTTATTTATGTATTTTAAGAGGGTCTCCCTCTGCCGTGCAGGCTGGAGTACAGTGGTGTAATCGTAGCTCACTGAAGCCTTGAACTCCTGGGCTCAAACGTCCCAAAGTTCTGGGACTACAGGTATGAGCCACTGCATCCAGCTCCACATACATATAGCTTTTCTTTTTTTTAGACGGAGTCTCACTCTGTCACCCAGGATGGAGTGCAGTGGCCCGATCTTGGCTCATTGCAACCTCTGCCTCCTGGGTTCAAGCAATTCTCCTGCCTCAGCCTCCCAAGTAACTGGGACTACAGGCGTGTGCCACCACACCTGGCTAATTTTTGTATTTTTAGTAGAGACGGAATTTCACCATATTGGCCAGGCTGGTCTCGAACTCCTGACCTCATGATCCATCTGCCTCCACCTCCCAAAGTGCTGGGATTACAGGTATGAACCACTGTACCCAGCCAAAATTTTTAAAAATCCATTCATATTCTGCTTAAATAGGCTAGATTTGGCTTGCATCTCAGACTCCTGAACAAGGGAGGATGAGTTTGAGAAAAATTTAAGATGCAGAAGAGCAAGACTTGGTGAGGGAGTGAGAAAAGGAGAGCTGTTTGGGTGGCTTCAAGATTTCTGTCTCTTGGCTGTTCCATCCATTCTGTCACGCAAGCCAAAAAGGCGCTAGGCCCCTTTCCCTATCTCCTCCAGCCAGTCTCAAATGCAGAGTAAAATCCAGCTCTTGGCTGGGCACAGTGGCTCATGCCTGTAATCCCAGCACTTTGGGAGGCCAAAGTGGGTGGATCACCTGAGATCAGGAGTTTGAGACCAGCCTGGGCAACATGGTGAAACCCTGCCTCTACGAAAAATACAAAAATTAGCTGGGAGTAGTGGTGCACGCCTGTAGTCCCAGCTACCCCGGTGGCTAAGGGAAGAGAATCGCTTGAATCCAGGAGGTGGAGGTTCCAGTGAGCCAAGATGGTGCCACTACACTCCAGCCTGGGAGACAAGAGTGAAACTCCGTCTCCAAAAAAAAAGGAAAAGAAAAAAAATCCACCTCTGCATCTGACATTTTCAGTGACTCCATTCTGTATTCCTGGAGCAGAAGTCATCCCATTCCTCAAATTTTTATGTTTTGTGATTATGGATGCCTGTCAGGAACTGGATCAATTTACCATTCTCTTTGGAAATTGTCGAGAATTGCTGACTAATCTCTGGTGGAGGGTGGCGATGCCCCTTCTGTTCTAGAGTTCCTCCCCAGTTCCTGCTTTTTTCTTTTCTTCCTGGCTCGGCCTCACTCATTCATCATCTCTGTCCCTCGTCTCTCTCGTTTGCCCTCCAATTAAATCTCCTTTAACATTCGCTATCTGAAATAATGGTACCACTAGAGTGGGGAACAGTTTGAATCCCCTCCCTGTACAGTTGAGGACTTGGAGAAGCAACAGCACTGAAGCCTTGGTTAGCATATAGAGTTCTGGAAGCCTGCACTGAACCACAGGGCTGATTTGTACTTCATTACAGGTTATAGCAATGAGGCCATTTCCTGGAAGCAATATTATTGAGCTTGGTATTTGAATTTGGGCAAGGTAGGGGTGGCAGGATGTCCTTGGACAAATAGAAATAGACTGAGGAGAAAGAACAAGCATATTCCTAGTGGCCAGTGGGAGCTAGACTGAGAATAATTATTGGTCTGAGCTCAGGTGACAGTTAGGAACTCTGTCTGTTCCTGAGGCCTCAGGTTGATTGCCAAGGGTACAGGCAGATGATGTTCTCTATCATCTCAACGTGTCCAAGCAGCAGGGTCTCGGCTTCCCATATGAATGGTCAGTGTGTGCTTGGAGGTGTGCTGGATGGTATTACTCACCTGGATACCTTCCTTTGGAATCAAGCACCAATTGGTATATACCTTGCATCCATTTTTGGCAAGCTGGGAGATATTCTTGGTAACCCATAACTTCCCCAAGCTACCAAGGTTTGGAAGGTACCTGGGGTGAAGGGGGCAGGGCTTGGAAAGAATCATGCCACAGCTACTGGGAAAGGGCATGTTCTGGGTAGAGGGATGCAATGAGCTCTTTATAACCAAACTCCAATGTGGTAAGGTAGATGAATGAATTATTCTGTCGGTAGGTGATACAACAGAGGTCCTTCATCCATCCAGTTAACGCCATGCTCTGCATGGTCTTTGCTGGAAAGTAGATATGAAGTACCCTAAATAGCTTCCTGAACTGGACCACAAATTGGGGGTTGCCATAAAACCACCTTTAATGCTTTGAATAGACTATGAAGGGCATCTAGGGTGATATAATAGTACTTAAGTGGATCTTCCATCCCTCCAAATTAATGGTGCAGATTTCTCAGTATTACAAGCTTCCCTGTGACTCAGGGTGGTCACACAATCTTAGTTATTCACTACTTTGCCCATTGCCTCTGTTTGTTGCAATTGGGGCTGATTGGCCACAATGTTTTCAGACTGAACAATTTTTAGAATGAGTCTACCTTTGTGCCTCCCAGAAATCTACCTTCCAGATTAGGGTATTTGCAGCCAGGCATGGTGGCTAATGCCTATAATCCCAGCACTTTGGGAGACTGAGGTGTGGTGGGATGAGCCTGTGGTCCTAGCTACTCAGGAGGCTGAGGTGGGAAGATCGCTGAAGTTCAGGAGGTTGAGGGTGCAGTGGGCTATAATTGCGCCACTGCACCCCAGCCTGGGTGACAGAGCAAGACCATGTCTCAAAAAACAAAAAACAAAACAAAAAAAACAAACAGAAAAAATGACTCATGACTCCTGTCTAGGAGGTCAAATCAAATGTTAGGCATTAGTCTCTTAAAGGTGGATGGAACATTAAGATGTACTGAAATGGGCTGAAGTGTGTTTGGAAGGCTAATTTGCACTTATCATCTTCCCTGATACAAATAAATTGTCAGTGCTTTGGGAGGAAGTGGACAGAAGCATGAGCCCAGGAAAGCAGACCAATCCTCAAGGCATGTTTTCCATATGGAAGCAGTTCCTTTGGCTCTATGTCCAAAAATATCTTCCTTGAAGTGGTGCACTTGTTCAGAATTCTGAACAGGAGAAGTAGATGGGGCATGAGACAACAGCAGGACTTAGCGCTGGTTGCAGATTGCTGATGTAAAGTGGAGTACACGGAATTTTCTAGAGATAATAACAATAAAAATAGCTAGTGAATGTGCTTGGCACAACTCTATAATGTAGGTGCCATTATTATTTCCCCAAGAGGAAACAAGGGCAGAAAAGTTTAGTAATTTTCCCAAGTTACATAACTAGCATATGGTAGGGACATGAGTTTAACCCAAGTAGTTTGACTCCAGAGCCCATGTTCTTAACCACCATTGTAACATCATCAGGCTTCCCAGGAAAGACAAAGGACTAAGGGGAAACATAGACTGTTCGAACCAACCAGCCTTTGATAGGCTCCAGCCTTTGATAGGGTGTCTGCTTACCTGGAGCAGCCTTGAGTTAGGTGGGTGACATGGTATCATTGCCTTGATCCACAGGCAGAACTCTGCCTCCCTCAGCTCTACTAAAATGTGTAATATCATTTCCTATGGCCAGAATGGGGGAGCAGAGGCCTGGAACTTGGTGGGTAACTGCCAGTGGATTAGATCAGTCCCAGTGGGGAAGACCAGTGCAGAAAGGCTAAACCCTTGTGGAAAAAGTGGCCTGTCTGCTGCGATACAGACACACTCACCCAGCTTAGCGGTGGGCCCACTCCTTAAGCTTAGAGTGTAGCTATGAATACAAATACCTTCCCTTTCTAGTTTCATGTGGATAGGGGATGGAGTTGTGTTTTTATTGAGACAGGATCTCGCTCTGTTGCCCAGGCTAGAGTGCAGTGACACAATCATAGCTCACTACAGCCTGGAACTCCTGGGCTCAGGTGATCCTCCTGCGTCAGCCTCCTGAGTAGTTGAGACTACAGGCATGTGCCACCACGCCTGGCTAATTAAAAAAAAAAAATGTTTTTTTGTAAAGAAGGGGTCTTACTATGTTGCCCAAGCTAGTCTAGAACTCCTGGGCTCAAATAATCTTCCCGCCTTGGCCTCACACATTGCTTAGATTACAGACATGAGCCATCACATTGTGCCCCAAGGTACATTTCTCTAACTTCAGAAGGTTTATCCATTTGGAAAGCCAGAGGGGCTCAGAGGCTCTGGCCAATTCATTCTTGGCTGAACTGTGCCACTTCTACTCCTGTTTGAAAAGCCAGAATGGGCCGGGGACAGTGGCTCATGCCTCTAATCCCAGCACTTTGGGAGGCTGAGGCGGGTGGATCACTTGAGGTCAGGAGTTCAAGACCAGTCTGGCCAACATGGCAAAACTCTGTCTCTACTAAAAATACAAAAATTAGCCGGGCGTTGTAGCACATGCCTGTAGTTCCAGCTACTCTGGAGGCTGAGGCAGGAGAGTCGCTTGAACCTGGGGGGCAGAGGTTGCAGTGAGCTGAGATTGAGCCACTGCACTCCACCCTAGGTCACAGAGTGAGACTGTCTCCAAAAAAAAAAAAAAAAAAGAGAGAAGAAAAAAAAAGCCAGAACAACAGTGCCCTCTGCTGTGGAGTCTAAGAATGGGATCTCCAGCTGTCTCCTAACAGGTGGTTCACCAAAGAGGCAGCTCAGTGAGGCAAGGAGACTAGGAGATTGAGCAGAGGACATTCCAGCCAGGCTTCCTCTAACAGAATCCAGGAAATGAGAATGTAAGTAAGACGAGTTCAGCTTTTACCAAAGACTCGAGGTTGAGCCTTTCTTTAAAGAAATTCATTTGGAATTGGAAATGAAAGCAACTCTGAGGACTCATTAGTGAATTCCTCAGGGAAGGGGAATGATAAGGGCAGCAGTGGAGCAAGCTGGAGTGAGGCCCTTTGGATGTGCACAGCTTGAAGGTTAGTGTGTCTGTGGCTAGAGGGCAGTCACTGGAGAGTCTGGCAAGGAGAAGTCATTTGTCTCAATTGTCTCAAGACAAGAACAGGCATAATCTTTCCCTACTACCCAAATCTCGCAGAGATTTTCTCTGCGACTCTGGTCAATGAACAGTGTTCTGGGTGCCTGGACTTGTGTTATGGTGAGAGCTAGGCTGACACAAGATTTTCATATAACAAGGCAAGGGAGTTGTCTCAAAGAAGGGCCAGATTAGAGGGAATTTTTCTAGAATAAAGAACAAGGCCCTCCTGGACTAAGAGGAGGGTCAGGTATGAAGCTAAGAATAAATAGGATGGCTGTGCACAGCGGCTCACGCCTGTAATCCCTGCACTTTGAGAGGCCAAGGCAGGTGGATCACCTGAGGTTGGTAGTTCGAGACTAGCCTGGCCAACATGATGAAACCCTGTCTCTACTAAAATACAAAAAATTAGCTGGGTGTGGTCACATGTGCCTGTAATCCCAGCTAGTCAGGAGGCTAAGGCAGGAGAATCGCTTGAACCCGGGAGGCAGAGGTTGCAGTGAGCCGAGATCGCCCCACTGCACTCCAGTCTGGGCAACAATAGCAAAACTCTGTCCAAAAAAAAAAAAAAAAGAATAAATAGGAGAGCAGGGTTCAAAGCTGGTGTTGAGAGAGATTCAGCAAAGAAAAGGACTGATACAGGATTGTGCTTCCCTGGGCAGGACGGAAGGGAAAGCTTGAGCACCCAAGAGCCCAGAGTTAAAGGTGAATGAACCCTGGAAGCTGGGCTGAATCTGCAGGATCAACCAGTATTAGAAAGAGGAAGAGTGAGCCTGGGAGGGACAGGAATCTCCCAACTGGTAGACATAAGAGTTCTGGTCACTGGTCAGGGGTGCTGTTCTAAAGGCAGTGAGTTGACTAGCCTCTTTCAGGGCCTAGATGAAATATCCTTTGAAGCCAGCCAGCGTCTTTTGTACCTCAAGGAATCTTATGGTTAAAAATATTGTTTTCCAGGTATCCTATCCTGGCAAGTATGTCTTGAGTAGTGGATAAAGATATTCTAGTCACAGGAAAGGTGTATGTTCTATATGTAAACAGTAAACTTACATATGACTTATAACTTTTTCTCCATCATCTATTGTAAAGTTTTATGTGCTAGTTCTTAGGTACATTAGATACATTATTTTATTTAATGTCCATAATAAATCTTTTTTTTTTTTTGAGTCAGAGTCTGTTGCCTCAGGCTGGAGTGCAGCTCACTGCAACCTCCGCCTCCCAGGTTCAAGAGATTCTCGTGCCTCGGCCTCCCAAGTAGCTGGGATTATAGGCACCCACTAACACATGCAGCTAATTTTTGTATTTTTAGTAGGAATGAGGTTTCACCATGTTGGCCAGGCTGGTCTTGAACTCCTGACCCCAGTTGATCTGCCTGTCTCGGCCTCCCAAAGTGTTAGGATTACAGGTATGAGTCACTGCACCCGGCCTCTCCACACTAAGTCTATAAGGCAGACATTATCGTCTCCATTTATAGGTGAGGAAACTGAGGCACTATGAATTTGCTTAGTGTGAGTTAGCCTCCTGAATTTGAACATCTTTGGATCCTTGATAAACTGAGTTTCTTTTTGTTTTTGAGTCAGCCTCACTCAGTCACTAGGCTGGAATGCACTGGTGCAATCATGGCTCACTGCAGTGTCAACCTCCTGGGTTCAAGTGATCCTCCCACCTCAGCCTCCCAAGTACCTGGGACTACAGGCATGTGCCAACACACCTGGCTAATTTTTTGTAGAGACAAGGTCCCAGTGTGTTGCCCAGGCTGGTCTCAAACCCCTGGGCTCAAGCGATCCTTTTGCCTCAGACTCCCAAAGTGCTGGGATTACAGGTATGAGCCACTGCACCTGGCTTAAACTGAGTTTCTGAAGTCAAGGATAGACCAAAGTATGTTCCCCACACCCATTTTCCTCTTTGGTTTTTCTATTTTGATTCTTTATCAGGAGGAAAAGGTAGGAAGGAGGCAGGAACTAGCAGAATGTTTGATTACACGTGTTGACTCACCTCTGTGAGTTTTCATTATGACTATAATAAGGAAAGCTTGAGTGGGCCCTTTTGAGTTGAATGTTAATACACTGACACCTACTAGGAGGGAAAAAAAAAGCCTATCGTTCTTCAAGGAAGAATTGTGAATGACTTAAAAATATCATGATAGTAAGAGTGTTAAGAATGAAAAGTGTGAATATTAATAGGTTCATTTTTATAGTTGCTGTTAAAGACCTA